GTTGTTCTCCATCCACACACCTGGTGGCGCCTTCCTAAAGCAGCTCCCAGGGGGACACGGGATTTTTTTAGTTTAACATGGGTTTCAGTGCGTTCCAGGCATTTGCATGCGTTTTTGATGCGTTTGCAGATCCAGAGCAGGAACTGCGATGGGAACTGGAGCTAAAAATACCATTGGAATACATTGGACGCAGTTTTGATCCGGTCTGCAACTGCTCTGCACCTGCTCCGCGGTTGGTGTGAGCAAGGCCTAAGACAGGTGGCCAGTCATTACACTGCTGCCCGGCTTCCTGATTGGCCGGGAAGCTGGTTCCAAGGTCACCCGGCCAAATCAGGAAGCCGGGGGCAGGTAATGACTCGTATTAAATATGCCATTAGCACACCAAAAATCCTTTCAGGATCACTGACTTTTCATTTATTCAAAACCATGTCAAATAAAATGAATGACTCGCCCCTCATGACAAGGGAGCATGGAGCTGACTTCCCGGCCAATCAGGAAGCCGGGCCCATGTAATGACTCGCTGCCCCGCTCCCTGATTGGTCGAGGAGCTGGCCAATCAGGTGGCCAGGCGGCGAATCATTATCAGCCCCCCCGGCTTCCTGATTGGCCAGAAAGCCGGCTCCCTCGTCACCAGGTGACGGCTTCCCTGCTTATCGGGAAGCCGGATGGCGAGCCATTACACGCTTCCCGGCTAATCGGGAAGCCAAATGGTGAGTCATTACACGCCACCCAGCTTCCTTAATGAAACTTTTGGTATTCTGTATCGGCGAGTACCAAAACAAAAAGGTACTAAAACTCGATATCGAAATAACGGTATTGGTGCATCCCTAGTTTATACCTAGTATCAGTACTAATGAGTAGTAGAGGGACTTGTGATTCTGCATTATAAATACATATGCAGCCCCTACTACACTGTGCGGTCTCATTCTGCTGACTTTATGTCGTACTGAGAAATGAATGATGGAATTGTTGATGGAAGGGATTGCCATTTTCACTTGTGTACTGCTTCTTTTTTACTATTTGCAGAATAGCAATTTAAAGAGAGGAACGGAACTATACAGTCATTATACAGTGACTGATGCCAGCACAATCGCAGAGTGCTGAGCAAACAAGCAAGGGTCAGCAGTGAGTAAATATTGATATGTTCAGATTCAGCTGATAGGATAGCGGTATGTTAGAAATGTTGGTTAATTCACACTAATCTGACATTTACTCAAATCGCTCTTATCTTTATATTTGAAACACTTCCCACTTGTATGCAAACATGTAATGTAATGTTTACAGAGTACATTTTAATTTTCCTGGCACTGCCCCCAACAACCCCCTTAAAAATGACTTGTGCAAACATTTGATATATTTCTCAGCAAGATTATTATTATATAGGATTACTATAGCGCCAACAGTTTGCGCAGCGCTTTACAATATAAGGAAGACATTACAATCACCATACAATTCAAGACAAGATGGTAAGGAGGGCCCTGCCCGTGAGGGCTTACAATCTAAAAGATCCAGTATAAAAAGGTCAGAGGATAAAAACATAAAAAGAGAACATATGAGCAGCAGAGAAAGATAGTAGAATGAAAGAAATAAGGTCTGTTCCCACTGTGGTGCTGCAGTAACATATGCGCTGATGCGAGTCAGTGACAATCATTCCTAATGGCACACCAGCACACCTTGTTGAAGGACATCCACTGTTGTGCTATGCACAGTAACACACTATTGTGCGTTGTGGTGTATTACATTACAAAAAATGCGAGTACTGAGATTGTAGTCTAGCACCGGAGTGAGCTTGGAGTGGTGACAACTTTACAACACACATGCGGAACAAAAGTAGCCACCCTCCAGAAGGAAGGACAGTGTCAGCACCAATCCAGAGATGATTTGAGGATCTACAGTCAAGTGATACCCAGGTAAGATACATTTAGGGTAATAGTTCTGGAAAATGTATTTTTAAGATTGAACTCCTGAGTTTAGTGTCACTTTAAAGTAGATGTAAACCCTTACTGATCGTCCTTTAGGTACCAAAATGCTGCTGATGTGAGTCCTGCAGCTCCTTTAGTCTCTCCACTAGGGTTGCCACCTGTCCAGGATTCACCCGGACAGTCCGGGTTTTGAATGATGTGTCCGGGTTTCATGGCAGCATAAACCCGGACACAAGATGTCAGGCAGACAGGGGCAACCAAAATTAAGATAGGGGCTACTGGCCCCCCACTGAAAATAGTCTCAGCTGTGATATTTACATATGAATGGGTGGGGCTATTTACATATGAATAAGCCATGACTCCTTCTCCCAAAAAATGTCTGCACCTCGCTAGAGTGTTCGGGTTTTGCGTGAAGAAAAGGTGGCATCCCTACTCTCCACATGTACTGTCTACTAGACATGCACACGGATATTCCGATCGATCTGAAGTTTTTGTTTTCTGAATTCTGACTGCTGTCGGCCATTGTGATCTACATCACTGGATGACGTGATTGACCTTTGGATAACATCGATGGACTTTTTGGGTTTTTTTTTTAAATAAAAGGACTTTTCAAAAACCTCTGTTGTGGTTTGTTTTTTCCCCAAATAAATATGGTGTGGTGTTTATTTACAATTTACCTTTTTTTTGTGGTGAATGAGTAGGGGTAGCAACTACCCCTTACTCATTCAGGAGAGGGGCAGCATCTGGGTGCCCTCTTTATGAAAAGGAGCACCCAGATTCAGATAAGCCCCCCTGCCTGCAGACCCCCACAACCACCAGGCCAGGGTTGTGGGGAAGAGGCCCTTGTACTCCTGACAAAGCACCCTCCCCATGCCAAGGGTATGTGGCCTGGCCTGGCATGGTCGTCGTCACCAACCACCACATTTTAGGGGGGGGCCCCCATGCTTTTTTATTTTGGCGTTGGAGAGCGACCTACAATTCCTGCTAGACCTAAAGGATATGGTATCAATTAGGGGGGGGACCCCACATGCTTTTTTTGTTTTATTATTGTTTCTGTGGACTGCCAAAAGTATAATTTGTTTAACTCAAATTGACTTGCGGACCAGAATCCCAAAAAAGACAAATAACGAAAAATTTTAAACAAACCAAATTTTTTGCTCAGCTTTACCTAAAGACTTGTCCATTGCCAGTATACATTGCAAGCACACAAATGTAGGAAAATGGGAGTAACAAAGCACGGTAGCAATCTCCACAAAGCGCTTCTTTATTTGTAAAATCCGGTCAACTCCAAGCTTGTGGTCCCCGCCCCTGATGGTTGCTCCCCTCACCAGAGAGGGATCACAAGTTTAGAGTTGACCGGATTTTACAAATAAAGAAGCGCTGGGTTTGTGCAGTGTAGCCAATCATGGCTCACCTGTCAGATGCTGTACAACTATAAACAGTTGAGCGGAGCTAGCTGTCACCTCTAGCTCCGCCCAATTGTTTATATGTTGCCGGCATCTGTCAAAATGCCATTCTGCGGCAAGAGTTCGGGACGGCGGTCATCAGTTTTTTTTTCTTTTTTTATTATTTCCATTTATTTTGTATTTCGTCCTGTTGTCGTCGTAGACAACACTGGACATCGTGATTGACGCTGGATTACGTCGGTGGATCCAATTTGTTTTAGAAAATAAAAGACTTGTGAAAACACTTGTTTTTTTATTTCAAATAAAGGATTTTTTCAAAAGTCGCTCACACGTCCTCCCCCCCCTTTACTGCCCTGCTAGGCCTGTGCTCGGCTATGGAATATAAGGGGGGACCCCACGTTTCCCCCCCATTTTTAAGGGTGGGGTTCCTCCTTAAAATGCCTACCAGGCCTTAAGGGTCTGGTATGACTTTTGGGGATTTTTTTTTTTTTTTTAAATGGCGTCCCTCCTAACATTCCTACCAAACCTAAAGGGCCTGGTATTGTTTGGGAGGGGGGGACTGCACACTTTTTAAAAAAACTTTTTAAATGTCATTTTTGCTGCTGCAGGTTCTATACATTGTACAGATCCGCCACTTTACTGGCAGTTTAACCTCCCTGGCGGTATTCCCGAGTGTGGCTCGGGGTTAATTTTCAACACTCGGGATTACAGCGCGTTACTTACCTTGTCCACGATCACCGCTGTGTCCTCCGGCCGATGCCGGCATCCGTCTTCCGGGTTCCGTCCCTTGCGAGCATCAGGGAGGTTAAGGGGACCCCCCAAGCATGATATTTAAAGAATTTTCCATTGTTTTTTTCCATGTTCAAAAGTTCGAATTCGAACCAAACACGGGGGTGTTCGGCCCATCACTACTGCTAGCTAGCAGTAGATAATGCAAAAAACCCAGAGGGTTTAACTATACTTTAATCCAATCATTTCTGTGCATTAATCTTCATGGTCCGCATTACTGGAGGTGTTTGCCTCCATACTTTGTGTAATAACGTATCCTTTTCATTCTCAGAAAGTTGGAAGGCGTGGGACAGGTCCACCAGATGTGTAAATGAGCGGCCCTATTACCACATTCTTAATGGACAGAATCATTTAATTTGCAGTTTTTGTATTGAATGTCTAACATCCCTAACCAAATTTCAGCATGGAGCAAATTTAGTTTCATACAATGGACAGCTGGTACATGGAATAGGAAAGGATGATATGGTGAGCCTGCACAGGAACATACTGAGGGGAATTTATCAAAACTGGAGCAGGCAGAATCTGGAGCAGTTGCCTATGGCAACCAATCAGCTTCCATATTTTATTTTCAAAGCTTGACTGAACTAATGGAAGAGAGAAGCTGATTGGTTACTATGGGCAACTGCTCCAGATTTAGGTCCTCCCCCTCATTGCATGTTCAGCATTGTATGGTAAGCAGCTGTTTGATGTAATGTACATGATCTCACTCATAACCCTGCAATGCGTGTAAAGTCTAGCATGCTCTCTCCATCATAATTCTCTGGATGCAGAGTATATGACATGACACGATGTGACGATCTGTACCGAACCCGATCTACAGCCATACTAAAGACTCATAAATCATTTACTCCACAATGCACCACAACAAAGTCTCCTGCTTTCACTCCGACGTCACTTCCGTCCGGGCGTTTCTCCCAACTCTGCTTCCCTGGATAATAATAACGGTGAAACATACAGGAGCTCGCTGATAGGCCAGCCGCCTGACGAATGGGCAGCCAAATTAGGAGTCGGGAACGCGCTCTCGTGATGCGGTTGGAGAGGCTCCATCCCGTGCTCCGTACGCTGTGCGGAGTGAAAGGGCTTTGCTAATAAAGCATTTGTTATTCAAAGGCAGCCCAATCGAGGCGGCGCGCTCACTCGATTGGCGAGAACGCGCAGAAAGAGAGCAAGGAGTCCAGATTGGGGAGAGATGTGACCAGAGGACCCTGTCTGTGTCCTCCACCCAGAGGCAGGCGATATCCCTTCTGCTCGTCGGGAGGAGACGACGGTCACCATGGCAGATAAGGGAAGGCTGAGTTTCCCTGGGGCATTGAACAGGCCGGTGCCCATGAACTTGTTTGCTACCTGGGAGATAGACGGCTCCAGCCCCAGCTGTATTCCCAGGTAATGCTGCTGGAGGAGGGCTTGGGTAGCAGTGTCCTTCTGTGTCAGTGATACCCCGGGGACTCATAGCTATGTGTCAGTGCTGGAACAGTAGGAATAGCAATTGGTTTTATGTAAATCCAAAATCTTGGGGTGTGTTCTCGGAGGAGGAGGAGGTACACCTGTGATAATAGTGTGTGTGTGTACACCTGGTGAAAGGGATACTGAACTCAGGAATTTAATCCTGAAAATAAATGTTCCTGAACTATTATCCTAAATGTATCTGAATTGTGTATCACTCATCTGTAGATCCCCAAATCATCTCTGAATTGGCGCTGACACTGACCTTCCTTCTGGAGGGTGGCTACTTTTGTTCCCCATGGTCCCTGTGTGTGTTGTAAAGACATCAACGCTCCAAGATCACTCCCGTGATAGACTATAATTTCAATATAAACTAGTAAACTAAACATGAGATTGTAGTCCATCACAGGAGCGAGCTTGGAGAGGTGACTACTTTGCAACACACAGAGGGACCATGGGTAACAAAAGTAGCCACCCTCCAGAAGGCAGGACAGTGTCATCATGAATTCAAAGATGATTTGAGGATCTACAGCTGAGTGATGCACAAATAAGATTTTTTTTAAATAATTGGGGTACTTGAAGTTGTCTTTATGCTTTAGCTCCTGAGTTTAGTGTCACTTTTAAGTTCCTAGGTTGCCATCCCTGGTTGTGATGGGGGGGGATTGTTTATCAGAAGATTAAATCCTTCATGTGTGGTTAGGAGCGCCTAATAAAAAGTCATATCGCTTGAGGGTTGATTCACACCATCTGCATTGGAACTTGGCTGACCGTTTCCAGCGCAGCCCCAACGCAAGACAATGCAATTTGCCTTGTCACGGATGGTGTGTATTCACACCACTGCGTTGCGATGTGTGCAAAAAAAAGTAAGTAAAGTCCATAGGATGTCCTACCAAGGAACCCCTGGAAGTGGGTGCTGAAGTGGCTGGATGGCACAGCAGGGTTTAGATGTAGAAAAAAGTGTCACCAGCACACCGGACGATGTGGTCAGGTGCTTGTCCTTTATTGACACATGTTGTCACATTAAAGTAATGTTTTGGAGTTGCTTAGGGTCCCCTTCATCAGGCTCAGCATTGCATGCCTTACTTTTTTGCCTTTTTTTCAATGCAGCAAGTTGTGACGCAATACAACTGCCTTGCACCCGACTGTGCCCATAGAACTGAATTAACTTGTGTCATTTCAATAAAGTTCTGTCAAACAAAAGTACACAGTGCGATGCACTGGGGCACTGCACACCAGACAATGCGCAATTAGAGCAGCGTCTGGTATGAATGGGCCCCAAAAGTTTGTTCAACTGAAATGTCAGATACCGCCAATGCGTTTCAGGGGAATGGGAAATCCCATTTCTTCAGGGCTTGAAAAACAATATGTGATGAAATTGGGAAGAAACATGCTTTGCAGGCTGGATTGTGTAGGAAATGTCAGCCTGACCTGTTTGTAGTGGGGACAGCTGGCTCTCTGCAAACAGGTCATGCTGATGCTCTGCCCCAACCGGCCCTAATTCAGGCTACAAGGTTTATTTCTTCCTGATTCCATCACATTTTTCCTTAAGCCCTGAAGAAGAGGGGTGTCGAATTCTGCTGAAACGTGTCGGTATGTATCTGACATCTCTGTAGAAAAAATTCAGATATACTTTTAAGCGAGATGACTGTTTTATTATAAGGCACTCCTAACCACACATCCATTGTTCCTGTGCGTTTCCGCTCTTGGCATTTGCTGTACTTGTTTATTGTGCAAATAAATATGTATTGTAAGAGCTCACCGATAACGTAGAAATTACAGCGCTCAAACTTCCTGCTGTATGTCTTAGAGCTTCTGTTATTAAATAGAGAAGTAATTCATGTGAATGGCAGTGAAGGAGTTAATGAGGACCATGTATTGATGTGGTACCCATGGCAGTCCGTGCTGTCTCCTATTACGCCCATATATTGGGATTACAATAACATGTCCGGGAACAGAGTGAGCTATCGGTTACAATGAAGGGTGGATTCAGTACTAGCACACATCACCAAGCTTATACAACTATTCCTTCTGTTGGTGGTTGATGCCTCGTATCGCTACAACTGGCCATACACCAGAAGAATGTTGTTTGTTTCTCTAGTAGTTAATGGGGTCAACTCCGTGATTGATTTCAACTGTAAAACAGTAGAAAGCCCATTTCGTGTGCACCTTGCTGTATAGCTGGTGACAAATTGTTGAGTGCGTTTGTCATTTGTTTTGCTTGATTTCAACTGTAGTCACACAAAAATTGATGGACGTGGGATAAAAATGTGTTTCTTGAAAGAACAAACTTCTAACCGTGAATGTGGTTTCCATTCATCCAAAAATGGAATATTAAAAGTAGGGATGCACCGATACCGATACTAGAATTGGTGCCCAGTATTTGGACGAGTACTCGTACTTGCCCAAATGCTCCGATGCCTAGCCTGATACTTCCGGTATCAGGAAGCCAGGCAGCGCGTCATTACACGCTGCCCGGCTTCCTGATTGTCCTGGAAGCTGGCTCCATGCTCTCTGGTCACTTGTGAGGAGAGAGCATGGAGTAGCTACATTCCATCCCACATCATGCCCTCGGTGTGTACAACACAAGACACTCTGTTCTGTCTGCTCCAGTTTTGATAAATTCCCCTCCGAAATCTTTTAAATATACTGGACAAGTAATAAAGGTAGAAGAAACTCCTCTTGAAATTTTACAACAGACACAAAATCTTAATATTTTCCTATTTCTTTCTACTGCAAAAGAGTCTTGGCAGCCAGCCTGCCTGCCTTCTAATGTAAAACATGACCTGTTTCTCAGCTGCTAGAAACTGACTGACAACCTGACTGCAGAGTCTTTGTTGTGATCTTTGAGAAATTTGTGAATTCGCAATACAAGCAGCTAGGAAGATCAGGGGTGGCTTGTTTTAAAGCTCTTTCCTTGATCATATGTCACAGGACACAGGGAGTTAATATCTTTAACTACTGGGTTATATATCTACCTTCAGGTGATTGGACACCGGCAAATCAACACTGCAGGACAACCCTACATATCCCCTCCCACTATGGGGTCTATGTGACAGTGTTTTTCCCCATAGTTCTCCTTAGGGTAACGGGAGAACACAAACTAGTGTCCTTCCGTTACCCTAAGCTCAGTATACCGCGAGATATACTAAGACGCCGGAGCGGATCCCGACATAGATGACGGGATCCGCCCAGCTGCGTGAGTGACAGCTGGCTCTGCCTATCTAGAGGCAGAGCCAGCTGTACCCGCCCCCTCCCCGTCTGTTCCGCCAGTCAGCACTGGCAGATGGGAGAGGGGAATCCAGCCCTCCCCCTGTCACGGCAGAGAGCCGTGACAGGATAGAGAGGTGAGCGAACATGGTATGTGTTCGCTCACCTCCCGATCTACTGAGCCGACCTGTGACAGTCTCATTGTCACAGGTCGGCTAGAACTATGAGGTGAGTGGAAATCACTCATCTCATCGTTCTCCTTTAAGAAAAATACAGCAAGTCCAGTTGCCTTGATTTTTTTTTTTTTTACAGGCACACCATGACCTGGATGAATGAGAACCTTCACAGATTATAGAACAAGTTAGTCTTTAGTCTTTTTTTCTAAAAAAACGGTCTGGTCACAAAGATATTAATGAATTAAAGCATAGCAAAATATAAAATCTAAGTTAACCCTGTAATATTATTTTTATTTGTTTTGCTCATATTAGGCCTTCATTTGGTCATTTTATTTTTAAAACTACCCCAAATGTTTATTTTTATGGACAAGAAAGCAGTGGACTCTATATAGGAGTAGGTTTTGATACACATGTCAGTACTGAATGGCGTCCTGAATCATGCATCCCCCTTTAATGGTCCCAGGCTCAGAGGAGCAGGAAGTGGTGGGGTGGTGCTAGCATGCAGAAGTGACCAGGTAGCTTTACAACTTCTCTATGAAACATACAAGTGGTATGATTCATGGAAGAATAGTCTGCCCTGTCAGGTTTGGTTTCATTCTTTGTTACTTTATTATGGCAGTGAAAGGGTTAACCATACTCATGACTTGATTGGCAACATTAATTAAAAATTACTTGCAAGAACATAGTTTGTCATGCTAAAAATATGTCTAACTTGTACACTTTAAAGTCCAATTAACTTTGCGTTTAAATTTGTTAAATGTATTCCAGATGCATCAAAACAAAGATTGTGCAACGTTTTATAGTTCAGTTTCTTTAGAAAATAGAAACCCTGTCAGCATGCTGCAGAGAATGCCCTTGTTCTATTTGTGGAAACAGTGGTCACTCTGCAGAAGTCCAAACACACCCCTTGCTGAGTCAAACTTATAGCTCTTCAATCAGCAAAACTCATGATCCCTGCTGATTTGGAGATCGCTAGCTCTGACTTGGCAGGGAGTTTGTCACATGTCTGCAGAGAGACCTCTGTTTCCACACACAGCATGCTGGCAGGAGACGCATGTGTTTTTTTTTCTTTTTCTCTCCAACGGTAAGACTTTGCACCCCCCGCCTTTTTTGGGGGGCCCCTTAGAATGCATTTAGATTTATCCCTTTCACTGTCCGGCCTTGCTGTCCAACATTACCTAACCAAATCTGTTAGGCTGAAATAAGCTTAACATATATTGAATTAAAACGGCCTGTTTACATTTTCTCTGCTTTCCTCTTTTAACCTGGCCATGCACTGTGGGGAAAATCGCACAGTGGGTACCCCTGTTGGCATCTCTCCGCCTGGTATCCTTCAATCAGAGAATTGAAGGAGCCAGATGGGAAAATCTTTGGCTGCCGTCACATTTCTCCTAATTGGCTTCCATCACTGTTCCAGTATTCTGACAGCGGCACACCCATCGCTGGCTGAATGAAAAGAAAACTTGGGTGTATGGCCAACTTTACAGATAAACTGTAGAAGCGAGGGCTGAGGTGGACAGGCTTTTCAAGTTTTCATGAAAAATGATAAGTCAATCA